CATTTCTCGACTTTACGTCCCACTCTATTCCTCTAAACAGATTCTCAAACAGAAATTGCTACTCGCCATTAAGACCAAGAATTTTGGTTTTGTGTAGAGTATAAAAAGTGTGTAACTGCTGTGTAATATTACTAGCGAATTTTGTAGATTTTTTTCATTTGTCTATAAAAGTTTATGGAAGTCAATGCTGTCACACCCCCTGGAGGTACCTTAAAGAGATAAATACAAACATTCCTTGCTGAGTTTGTAGCATAAAGGACTGAGGAGCACTAGCAACATTTAACTATGATTTGCTAGTTAACAACTTCTGGGTCTAACCCCAGCCAAAGATGACAGCAGAACAACATAATTTACACTGTGATTTATCTTTTTGCTGAGGGGGGAAAAATGTAAAATGTTCTGAAAATTCACTGCTGCCTTTGTGAAAAGTGTTTCAGCAAAGGTTCTTGTATAGAGGGAATAGGGAATTTCAAAATAAAAAATTAAGTATGTTCTGTGTTTTCATTTTAACTTTTTTATGGTGTTGAATTTGTGGTTGGCTGCAATTGTGTATCATCATGTATATGGAACTTGTAAAAAGTTCTAGACATTCAGATCTTAGAGGTAAAATCACTTTTACCTATAAAAACCACTTATTGCGGTTTATTTTGGCTGCATTGAACTCTAGGATATTAAATGAAATCACTAATATTTTGCATGTAATTGTTCATTTGAGTGAGGGCACTTTTTGTACATATGATGGGGCCAATACTTGATCACAATCACCTTTTCCCCTTTGTATCTTTACTCAGTGAGCAGTCAGTCAAGAGGTTACTGCACTTCAGTTCTAACTAGACATTTGTACTAAGGTATTCAGTTATGTAAACTCAGCCTGGGCACTTTCTGATAACTGTAAAATGTTTTATAAGATCATGATTACTGAAGATACATTTTGGTAATTTTAAATGTTCGTGAGCAGCTTAACTACTTTTGTATCTAAAGCCTTTTTTAAGTATCTTGTTACATTTACTTTTTTAAATAAATTACAGAAGAAATGTCAAGTAATATTGAAGAAACAATAGTTTTTATTTTATCTAGTTGTACATTTTTAAACTAAGGGTAATACACTGACATGGTTATGTGCAAAAAAATTTTGATTTGAAGAACTGAAAGTTTATATACACATGGACTATAAGAAACAAAATCAGTCCACATTTTACAGTTAGCAGAGAATCCTGAATGCCACTGGCCAGGCCACATTTTCTTTTTATAAATGGGGAAGTGAAGTTGGGACCCACTTGGCAAGGGAATTAACTCATCTACTATGTGACAGGTTCTTTTTTCGATGGCCCATTATGTAACCTCAGACCAATACCTAAATTCTTGTGGTACCTTCATTCAATGGCACAATATGGAACACGGTTTTCTTCACAAAGTCTTCAATAAAGTGACTTAAACTAGTCACTTCACATACTGAAAATGAGCAGAGATTCTCTGGAATCTCTCCTACCTCTCAGTTCCTTCATAGGACTCCTGGCCTTCAGGATGTTTTTCATGTTCAAAGGCACTACACTTTTATTATATAACTTCCTTCAGAATGAACTACATGCTGTCCTCAGCCTTGCTGACATATATATATTAAAAACTAAAATGATAGTGCAACTTGTATTACTCAAAACTTACACAACATGCTGTTAGATTTGTGTAAATTAACCAAAGGTTATTTTACAAAGTAACATTGGTTTTTGTGTCTAAATGCTATTTCTGAGTAAGTGAAATAGTAGTTAGATTAAGAGCTGATTATTGATATGTCTGAAATAGTAACATATATCACCTTCACTTCTGTATGCACATTATGGGATTGATAAAGTATGAAATGAGAACAAATCAGATATGATTAGGACATTTGAAACCCTAATTGTGAACTTATTTTTAATAATTACTGAGAAAAATATTTAAAATAATACAAAATGTCTTAAGTCTTCCTAAATCAAGATTTTGGTTAAAATGCGTTTAGGAATATTAAAAACAGCGAGTCTTTTTTTTTTTTTTTAAGTAAAGCATAAAATGATTTTAAATGTAAAATAAAGTCATGTAAAATAAAGTTCTCTTTTGGTCTTGCTTAGTGATTAAATCTAATAGAATTGAAAACAAATTTAGGAAGAGAAGACCAAGAATGAACTTTACTGAGGGTTTTCAGAGTGTTGCTACTTTTAATTTTCCCCCTAAGTCATCTGAATATCAAGACTCCAGCATAATGGCTTACTGGGACAGACTTCTCTGAGAGGGCTTTTAAGAGTATGATTTCACTGCTTAGTATTTGCCCCTAAACATTTATCTCCTAAAGATATTTTGTGTGTTTAAAGGTTGTCAGTAATTTCTAGGTCTAATCTTAAAACTGAGAGGTCTTCCCTCGAGGCAGTTGTTCTCGCGTGACTGTAGGCCCGAGATTCTCGTGTGGAATTTGTTCATGCAGATCTCAGTCACGGTCTTGTTCAGTAAATCTTAAGTGGAAGACAGAAATCCTTATTCTTAAACAGCATTCCAGGTGACTATGAAACACTGCCCAAAGAGCATTACTTTTTTTTCCTTTTTTCTATTTTTTACCTCCAAATATAAATGCCCCCGTTTGCAAACTCCCAAGAGCCAAATGGCTACAACTTATAACCTATTTAAAAGTGCTTCTGTTAACCACCTTATCCTGAATTAGGCTCTTCCTCCTGATAAAGGACTGGTTAAAGTGCTTTCAGAACCTGCCTGAGCAGTAATTGAAAATATTTTCAATGTTTACATTAAGTAGGTAGGCATACAGATTAATTCTTTAAACATCATTTGATTAATGTAGAAACTTAAAGTGTGACTTTATGTCAAGATACTTTAAAGAAAAGGAAAGTATCTTACATTACCTCTTAAAATTAAAAAAATACATATTACTGGATTGTTATGACTATCCTGGAGTTTCTTAATTACTAACTTGTGTTAGTACTTATACGTACACATGCATATTTCATTTTATCCTATGAGAGAAAGCCTGTCCATCCTCAGGTAGGGAAACGCAGGTTAAACAGCTTGCGTAACTAGGGTTACGCAGCCTACGTGTGCAGTATGTACTCCAGGTGTCTGGAGCTTGCGTTCTCAGACAGCGGGCTGGACACTTCTGTGGAAGGTCTGATGGTAAGCGAGTGCGCTGGTCATTGGAGCTTCTGATCACCCAGTTCCAGGATCTGGGGTGGGGAGGGCGGGGAGGTGGCCCTGCACCCCCACGAAGCGCCGTGCCACCGCGGGTGTCCGACAAGTCACCTCCACTCTGACCCTGTCCCCGGGCCCAGGTGCCCGCTGCAGGCCCAGGTCCCGGGACGCCTTCCTGGGGTTTGAGTGATTTGCCAGCGTGGCTCACAGGACTCAGGAGAAACATGTTACGAGATCACCGGTTTCTTACAAACGGATAGAAACGAGGGACAGTCCGATGGGCCATGCGCGGGGAAAGGATGCGGCGCTTCCCTGTTCTCTCCCAGCGCGGGAGCTCCCCGAGCCCTGCCATTTGGGGTTTGTGGAGGCTCCATGACAGGCATGACTGACGGTCAGAGTCGCTGGCCGCTGGTGACTGATTCAGCCTCCAGCCCCTGGACCTCGTTTTTGTCTGTGAGATCAAATGGTTTTCCCTTTCTGTGGTAGATTTCTTTAGATCAGTGGTTCTCAACCTTGGCTACACATTAGAATCACCTGGGAATCTTTTTTAAAGTCCTGATTTCTGGGCCTCATCCTCCTGAAATTGTTTCTTTGTTCTGGGGTGGGGCCACAACTTTAGTAACAAACAGAATTTCCGGAGGATGAGGCCCAGAAATCAGGACTTTAAAAAGATTCCCAGGGGATTGTAATGTGCGGCCAAGGTTGAGAACCACTGCTTTAGGTGGGTCCCTTAAGAGCCGGGTATCCGTAATTCAACCAAATGGCTGTGCCCATCAGTCGCCACTGCCCGCAGCTGCGACGGGCGGCTCTCCTCTCCGCGACTGGAGCCAGCGCTTGGCCGGAGCCCGCCGCCCACGCCTCCTAGGGCCTGCGGTTCTCAACCTGTGGGTCGGGACCCCTTTGGCCGTCAAAGACCCTTTCACAGGGGTCGCCTAAGACCACCCTGCATATCAGATATTTACATGATGATTCATCACAGTAGCAACATGACGTTATGAAGTAGCAACGAAAATGATTTTATGGTTGGGTCACACCATGAGGAACTGTATTTAAAGGGCCAGAAGGTTGAGAACCACTGTAGGCGGACACTTAGTTTCTTCAGCTGCAGCAGGAGGGGCTTTGCTGTCGCTACTTAAGAGACGTCCTGACTGACCATTCAGTGGTAATTCAACGTGACTAAAGGCTCCGTTTGTTGAAACCATCTCAGAGCTTTCCACGACTTTTCCTAAATGGAGCCATTGCCCCCGCCTCATCTCGAGCCGCCCCGCCCCCGCCCCTAGGCACACACACACTTTTCCCTCCACCACTTCCTTTCTTTCGGGAGCTTAAAGACAACACAAAGTGGCTGTTGCTACTTGTTAATTTGTTAACGGTGCGGTTTTTGTTTTTGTGGTGTTTTTTTTTCTTCCACCAAGCGTGTGGCTTTCCCCCTAACCACCACCTGGCAGTCTCTCGGGACGGCCGAGGAGCGCGACATACCATGTTCCTTATGCCACGGCGAGAGCAGCTGGGAGAGGTGGCCTGGCATGGCGAGCCCCTCCTGCACCGGAGCAGTAGAGCCCCAGCCGCCGTGGAGGGCGTGGCCGAACGCCGCCGGCGGAGAACCTCAGGCCGAGGGCGGGGAAGCGAGGCCGGTGGCTGCTGGGCGAGCGTCTTAGCCCCGCAGGCGGGAGGCGGGACCCTGCGGCAGGGAAGGCGGAGCCGGCAGGCGCAGGGAGCGCCCTCATTGGACAGGCGTGAGGCGGGGCAGTAGAGGGGGCGGGGACATCCGGAGTGGGCGGGTCCGTGAGGCTGGGAAGGCAGGACCAGGCCTGCGCAGGGAGAGTCCCTCAATGGGCGGGCGAGACAGCCGGGGCGGCGCAGTGGAGCGAGGCGGGGCGGACCGGCGTGGGAGGGGTCTCTGCCGCGGGGAAGGGCGGACTCCGCAGCCCCGCGGGCCACCTGGGTCCAGTCCCGGTTGGAGGTGGCCTGGAGCGCTCGGTTCCCTCAGCGGCCGGAGCTCTGGCGGAGTCTGCGCGATGGGCGACCCGGAAAGGCCGGAAGTGGCCGGGCCTGAGCTGGAGGAGGTAAACGTTGCGGCCGCTTTTCCTCGGGTCCACAGTCACCCTGGCCAGTGGCACGCAGGGTGCGGCGGGGACTGGCCAGGGGCAGGACCGCTGCGGGAAGTTTTACCCGTTGCCGTCGGAAACCCTGCGTAGGCCGGGCCCGGAGCCCTCGCCGCAGCCTGCTTTCGTCCTTTCCAGTGCCCAGGAGGCCGTCCCCCCGGGAGGGGAGGGGTAGGAGCCGGGCTTCGGCTCCCCCGCGCTGCACCCAGGCCCGGACAGGGCAACGCTCTGGGGTTCAGGCCGCGGCGAGCGCACCCCCTCCGTGACTCTCCCCGCGTCCGTCCCGTTTCTGGAGACCTGGCCGGGGAAACCGAGGCCCGGGGCCAGGGCTGGTGGATGTAGCGAAGTGCATGCCGCCCGGGGGGGTGGGTGGGGTGGGAGTTGACGCAGGTGGACGGGAAACCTTAATCAAGGTGATCAGCTCGGGCGGCCCGTTTTGCGCAGACCTGGCTGCTTCGCTGTGAATCGCTGGGGCGTAACTTGCTTCATGGGCACAGTAGACATGATCCTGCCCGCACAGAGCACGGAGTGAAATGCTTTATGCAAAGGACAGTGGGTTACGGTGCTGCATAAACCGAAATTAACGTGCTTGTCCTCTCCTCTGCTTCTACGTCAATAAACGTACATAGGAACAGTAAAGAAACCGTGACTGAGTGTCGTCGGGTAGTTGAAATTGTTGCTCTATAACTTCCATACCCTGGGGGGTTTTTTTTGTAAATACTTCTAAACCATTTGTTTTTCGCTTGAACCTGTTGCTGCGTGTCGTTTCTTTGATTTCATAGAGTTCCAGACAGAGAATTATGCTTAGCCCTACATTTCTTTAGAAAGTGGCAGATTCCAGATTTTATTTCCAAAATAAAAATACTTTTTTATTTTGTAAACATTTAGTAACTAACTAAATGTTTGTTGAAAATATCCCTCAAACTTTTTCTTCCTGTTTTGAAACACAAATACGTTTAGTACTGATTTTTCTTCCTGTTTTGAAACACAAATACGTTTAGTACTGATTTTCCCCCTTGAATGAGACCATTCAGATGTTTCCTTTCGTGCCCGCAGTCATTTAGGCTAAAGACCTGGCAGCTGATTTTCATTTATTATCCCCATCTAAGCGATACACATCCACAGACACAGGAGCAGAACTTTAGGTCTAGAATGAATCTAAGTGAACGCATGTTACGGTCTGAACGGTTTAAACTTGAGGTGCAAGGATGCCTTAAGTACTTTGTCTAGCATTTGAGGTGCATCAGAATCACCCGGAGTACTTTGTAAAAAATGTAAATCACGGGGCCTACACCTAGTAATCAATTTTGATAATGAATCAAAAGCTCTTGGGATGGAAGAGAAGGTGGAATACCTCTAAGAAACTTGATTTCAGATTCGCATCCCTTCCCACCTAGTTGTCTCTCTACCCTCAGTCTTACCTGCTCCCCGGTCCTGTTTACCTCTGCCAACTTAATCCGTCATCAAATCAGGGCCTCCATGTCACCCCCTCCAAATAAAAACTCCCCAAAGGGTCTCAGTTCCCACCCAAAAAATGCCCGGCTCCTCAGACTGGCAAAGTCCCACTCAAGCAGCTTTTGCATGCCAGCTGCCATATCTTTAATTCAGGTTGTCATTTCCACCTCTGAACTTGACACCATAGTTACTACCAAAATCTAGGGTGTTTTTCTTTCTTAATTCATGGATATCTGATGAATCTTCCTAATGCCATCTCTGTTCATGTTCATTGCTACTCAGGAATTTTCCACGTCTATCCATAGAAATGCTTTTCAAATGGCGCCGCACAAAGAACGCCAGCAGCTGGAGGTTGGGAGCAAGTGGGGAGAATTAGAGTCTGAGCCTCCCAGCTCCCCAGATGTTTGAAAATCTTTGGCCCACAAAATTCCTAACCTCTTCCAGTGGTTCTCAACCTTCCTAATGCCGCGACCCTTTAATACAGTTCCTCATGTTGTGGTGACCCCCAACCATAAAATTATTTTCGTTGCTACTTCATAACTGTAATTTTGCTACTGTTATGAATCGTCAGGTAAATATCTGATATGCAGGATGTATTTTCATTGTTACAAATTGAACATAATTAAAGCATCGTGATGAATCACAAAAACAATATGTAATTAATTATATATGTGTTTTCCGATGGTCTTAGGCGACCGCTGTGAAAGGGTCGTTCGACCCCCAAAGAGGCCGTGACCCACAGGTTGAGAACCGCAAATATCCAGAGTGTGGACCCTTTACCAAATTCCTCGCTGTCTCAACTGTTGACCCTTTAGCCAGACCAGATCGAGTCTGCCTTTGCTTTACATCCACGTCAGTGGGTTTTAATCCCAGCTGTCTCTGTTTTTCCATCTCCCCTTTCTGTAGGCTTGGTCCTCAGTCATGCTGCTCCTCTATGATTTCCCTGGAAAATCACAACCCTCCAATGGCATCTTTATCTTATTCGGGAAGGAGAGGAGATAGTGCCTCTGCCTACCATAGAGTTGTATTTTCAGCTCTCCCCTGGATATCTTGAAACTGAACCCATTATGTTTTTTATTGACCGAATTGACTTTTTAAAGACTTTTGTGTTCGCAGATTTTTATTCTTGTTGTGGTTTGTGTTGGTGGGGCGAGTTCATTCAAATTAAACTTTTGTTAAACATCTAATTAGAGAAGCAAGAGTTTTTGTCAGATTTATTCAGTTATCCTTCAGGTGCTGAGCCCTTTGTATGTGTCTTAAATCAGTTTTGTGTTTCTACTGCTGATTTCCTATTTGGGGCAAGAGATGGGGAGTGCAATAATTTTTAAATTGTTCTCTCCGCCTCCAGTTTCCCTTCTAATCTAACCACATTTCTACAAAAGTGATCTTAAAACACAGATCTGATCATGTTTCTCACCTGATTAAAGACTTTCAACAGCTCCCAATAGTCTGCATGATAAAGGCCAGGTGCCAGTGTTATATATCAAAGCAGATCACTTTGACTTGCTCCAAAATTTTTTAAAGTCAACATCTTAATATTCATTTAATATGCAAAGTAGACATATCCACTTTAACCTGAGATAAAGCCTAGAAATGGAGTACAGATTTTAAAAGCTGAAAGCTAACTATTTTTTTATTTGTTTTGTTTCATTTCATCTAAATGATGACCCTGGGGTAAAAAAGAGTCAAAACAGTTGCATCAAAATGGCTTTAGGGAAATAGCTGTGGCAAAATTCATGTAGATTTGCATTTAAGGCCCTCCCATGGCTTTAACACCTGGGCCTATTTTCCAAACAAAATTATAAGTGCAACACTGATTAAATCCACTTTTGTGTATTTTATGAATGTAATTTTTAAAGTAAACATATGTAATATTATAAATCAATTAATGGAATAATGAGGCTGTTTTGATGAACCTGCTGCTTTGAATTGGGGTGTAGATGATAACTGAAGATTTATACCAAACTTAGCAAACAGTTCCTTTGCATATTTACCAGAGTTCTCTTAATAAATGTACTGCTAGCCAGTTCTGAGCATTTATCAACCCATGTGCGTTAGAGTGCATTGAGGCTGCTCCCTGATGCATTCACATAATTCTGAGTTTTACCTTACCAGCATCAGTTATCTTTATTTCTAGTCCTCTTTATACCAACTGTACTTGTAACTATTGTAATTTAACTATTATGTAAACTAATAATATATGAGTATGAAAAGAAAATTGTTTATGAAAACTTGAAAGCTTGGGAAACTCAATAAAGATAAGTTGTTAAAACAAAATCTGTAGACTTAGATAAAAATAAAAAAAGATTGGTGATATTTATAAAAGAGGTAAGGATTCTGCCCTCAGATTGCTCTATCTTAAGGATGTTAAAACTAAAAAGCATAGGTGATGCATCATAGTGTGTTTATGCCAGAAAAATTTGGGATGTCAATCAATGAGCCAATTTAACAACAATAACAAAAAGCTTTGGCTTTATAAAAGATTAGTTAGTAAATGTAAGTTACATGTTTTAAGCTAAGTCATTTTCTTCTGATTTCTTACATTAGCCAATTTTCAACTACCAGTTTGGATTACTTTGAATAGGAGGGCTTCTACTGTATTATTGGTACCATTAATATTATTTCTTTTTCCTTTTGGGGGGGTAGGAGGAGGGTTAAAATTTTTTTTGGTTTACTCCTGAAAAATAGATACACATGATTACTGGGTATTTTTTATTTTTTGCTTTTTTTTTAACTGCCTCTCTTTCAGTCTCATGGCATTCTTCAGTTAAGCAGAGCTAGCTAGAGAAACTGTCCTCCAAGCTTATCCCCTCCCCCAAACACACACCAAAAAGAAAAACGACAACCTGGAAACACAAGTTCACGCATTGGTAGTTTCCTTGCTGTACAGTAGAAAACAACTTGTTATTTTTATTACTATTTTTAAAAGGTTGAAAACACATTTAAAACTAAAGTTCTAATCTCATGTTTGTGACACTAGAGAGACCACAGAGTTCTTCAGAGCACATTTGGAAAACACACTTGGGAAGTACTCTCTGCGTTCTTTCTGATTTCATCTCCTTCCATTGTCCCCCCATACTGTAAGTCCAATTTACAAAGATTCTTCCAGTTTTTAAAAAATGTTACATGCTCTTAGGCCCTTCCCCCCGCCCCTCCCCTTCACATTGCTTTCTTTTCTAACATTTGGCTTCCTAACCCAGGTGCATAGAGAGTCTACAGCTTTGGAATGTACTCGTGACACTCCTGACACTGCATTAACATGTTTGTGAATTTTTCCAAGCATCATGAAAATAAGCAATATTTCCATGTCATATCTAGCTCAGTTCAAAGGTTTATATTGGTTAAACTTGTTTTATTCACATTGCAAAATCTTTCATACTGCCCTTTAACCCAGCTTCTTCTCTTAACAGTCCACATATTATCAGGATGGAATAGGAAGAATAAATGTACAAACATGATTTTCATTCTAATTTAAAGGTACAAGTCTTGAGCAGTTTTCGTAGATCCTGTTGTTGATCAATTATTGTCAGCGTTTAAAAACTCCAGGATGCTTCGTGTGAAAGGTTTGCTGCTTATGATGTCCTTCTCAACTTCAGTACAGGCCACATCGCAAATATAGTGAAGGTCAAGGATTCTAGCTCTGTACCCCAGAGACAAAACATATTTAAGAAAGAAAAAGAAAAGAGAAATGCAGAATCATAGCAAAATGCTATAATGATGATAAAAGCACAACCGAGGAGAACTAAAGGAAGAACAACATGGGCCTAGACAAGTTTGAAATACCTGTCGACTGCAGACTTCTGCCTTTTCAATTGGGCTTTAAATTTGAAACTTTTCTAAGAGTTCTTTATTTCCCTGAGGGCAGTCATAGAAGGTATTGATTGATCAAATAATTAACCACTATAATAGTTCTTTTATCATTTCTTTAAGTATAGAGAGAGAGCCAACCAGAAATTATTATGTTCAATAATAACACAGTAATAATTTTAAAAGTGTATAGCACTTGAAAGTGTGCAGAGTATGGCAAGTATTATCTTTGATTTACAGATGATGATGCTCAGATTAAATAACTTGCCTGAAAACATGAATGCGCTTATTTTAAATGAATACAATTGTGTACTATAAAGGACAGTCTAGAATAAAATAGGGTTATTTGGTTCACCTATAGAGGTGGCAAATTCCAAAATGTTTATTTTCAGTCTTATTTTTATTGTCTCATTCACCTGTGAACTATGTCCCCATCAATGCTTCGTAATTTCATTACATATATTAATTTTAACCTGGTAAAAGGGAAGGCAAATGCATTTTGAGAAAGTATTCCTCTGTAGATTTTTAAACTTGCATCAGTTAAAAACCATTGCTTTAAACCTTACCGATTTGGCTGTGTGTTTTTTCTTTCTTTCTTTTGTTCCAGTTTCAAGTCACATTGGTTCTTTCAACTTTATTGACAAAGAAATTATTTTTTCCTAAAGTCAAATTTGGTGGTTTCCTCCTTTGCCAGTTATATCACTACCACTTTGTTGAAGGAACTTTGCTTAGTGGGAGATAGTAATGTATACTCTTCTGTAGGTGTAGTTCATTTCAGTGTTTTGAATTCTGGGTTTTAGATAGAGCTGGCCTTCCTCTAGCTGCTGTCCATGCATACAGAGGTGTAGCCTCAGGCAAGGCTTTGAGTTCAGACATATCTCAGTTCTAATCTTATTTCTGCCACTTATTAGTTGTAGGATCCTGGGTATGCTATTTACATCCTTCAAGATTTAGTTTCCCCATCTGTAAAATGGAAATAGTTTTCTATGTGTCAGAGTTGTTTACAGATTAAGTGGGATAATGTATATAAAGCATCCATGTGGTGATGGCGCAAAAGAGCCTCCGTGCCAGACCCAGAGGACCTGCTCTTATGCCTACCTCCTGTTCTGGAGCCTAGAACCGCAGTGTGTCAGTATCTTATGGTTCTTTGGAGAATGAACGCACTCAGTGGCAACACACATAACACACACATTTAAAAAACTTGACCACTTCCATTTAAAACATTTTCTTCATTTTTTTCTGGAATGAATTTCGACTAAGTGCCAAGTACTATGCTAGGCTCTGGGGATTCCACTAAAGTAAAGTTCGTTTTTATTCTCAAGAAGGATAGTCTAGAGGAGTCTATAGACACATAATAGGGAATGAAATTGCAGTGAATCATGTGCTATGTTGGACTTAATCCAGGCATTTGGGGTAATGGAGGGTGGGGAGAAAGATGGGGGCACTCCGAGAAGGCTTGATTTGAGTGGTCATTATATTATTTCACTGATGTATTGTGACCTTACGTTAAACTAAAAAAAGTCTAACAATATTCAGTAACCCGAGCCCAGGATAAAGAGAAATTAGCCCATTCATTCACTTGCTTAGCTAATGCTTATTGGCCTTTTATGCTTGACACAGTCCTACAGGAACATCACAATAGAGAAAAACTAGTTTCTACACTCTGGGGCTTATGTGCTCTATCTGGGGAGATTTGTGCCTTCAGAATAAGTACTTACCAAATAAGGCAGTCTATGCTGCAATGGCAGCATGTGTGAAATGTGGAAGCCCACCTGTGTCTGTGTGTCTCAGGTGTTGACTGTGGGCCTTTCTGTCATCTGGTCTTGCCTCTTAGCCTCAAAGCTTAAGCACACTTGATTTGGAGAGGTATGAGGACTGGTGGAGGCAATGGTGAGGAACACAATGTTCGGGCCTGGTATTCCTGGTACAGAAGAGAAACAGTTTGAGTTGGGAGTCCAGAATTGAAATATGTCCCAATAGTCTCAATTTATACACGTTTTAGCCTATTTGTATATACTTTACATATAATCATTCTCATGGACACACAACTCTTCTGATACTCTTGCTGACTATTTAAAAAGAAATATGGCTCTCTACCTTGTGAGAATGCCACCTTGTTTCCAAGTAGTATGTACGTAGGTATGTGTTCCTCACTTTATTCCACAAAGCTTTGAGACAGCCCACAGTGAGGCTCTATGCAGTAAGTTTAACATGTAAATAGCAATAACAAATTGGTATATGGTCAGCTTCAGACAAAACCTCTGTTGGTACAGAGTTTTCAGGTAAGATTATATTTCAGTTAAAATTAGAAAAGAAAACATTAAACTAAAAAAACCAAAAAGCTTATAACTAGCTTATTTCTATCTCAAACCAGCATTCTGTCTTTGAGAGAGGAACGAAAGGGAATGTTTGGTTCACTAACTTAGAAATGTTCCCTCTGTGACATTTATGGGTCTAGTTTTGTGCTTATCCTCAAAATAGCATTAATGACAATAACTTTGTTCAAGGCTTATTATGTGCCAGGCTCTGTTTAAAGCACTTTAATCATCAAAATTAATTTGATGATCACCTGTGAGAGAGGTATTATTTTACTGATGAGGAAACTGAGGCTCAAAGATGTTAAGCCACTTGCTACGATTACACAACCAACCAAACACTTATTAACCAGCTACGAGGTGACAAGTAAGGCTTCAACCCAACCAGGCTGGCTCCCACACCTATGCTGTTTCCCCAGCTCCCTCAGATGTATGTTTAGGTATGGATAAGGAGGAGATGTCTACACAAAATGGGTGTTTGTACTTTAATTTTCAAAGAGGTTATCTTCAGATACCAACGAAAATGAAGCAAAGTCAAGTGAAGAACCACTCCTAAGAAAGAGTTCGCGCCGATTTGTCATCTTTCCAATCCAGTACCCCGATATTTGGAAAATGTATAAACAGGCACAGGCATCCTTCTGGACAGCAGAAGAGGTAAGTGGCATCGCCTTTCGTCAGTAATCATGTTCTGTGTTGCAGTGTTCACATCTTCTGTTACAAGACATCGAAAAATGGACATTGTACCAGTATGATGGATGATACCTGCATAGAACTCTTGCTCTCTGGGTATATGTGTGTATTAATCTCTCTATATCTCTACCTCTACTATATATTTCTCTCTATATATATCTGTTTGGATAGATATATTTGGGCCTATATGCCTGTCTGTTTTTTCATGAGAGTGATTCTGTACATGTAAATACATGCTGTAACGAATGCAGGCTCGAGAGCAGACAAATCCTGGATCTACCATTTGCTGTGGAACTGGAAAAGTTGCTTAGCCTCTCTGTGTATCTTCCTCATTGTTATACTGAGCTAATAGTACCTGGTTTGGGGGGTTGTTATGAGGATTGATCAGAGAAATCTTATTAATGAGATTAATGTCATATTTAGAATGTTACTTGGCACTTAGTAAGCCAGATAACTGTAAACCATTATTTTACACAGAATGGGGGGAGAGTTGCACAGAAATCAGAAGCACCAATTTTTGAAGCTTCTGTTATGAATTTTACCCACCTACTCAACCTTGTTATATTGTTAACATCTTTGTTATATTTAACATATAGAGCAAAACAAGACCCCAGCATTTTTAAATTGGGTTGTAGTGCTTGGCACACCTGACTATCACCAACTGTTTGTGGTTTTTAGAAAGTTTTTTTGTTAGATATAGTTAAGAGAACAAAGGGAGGATACAGGTGGCTTTTTCATTCACTGTGTTTAGAAGGTACTTGTGATTCTTGAGTTTCTTGAAATTCATTTGAAAATTATATGCATTTTTTAAGCAAATGTAATATATGTTGTATTATGACTAAGAAACACTGATTTGAAAAATTATGCAGGGTAGAGCAAAAAGTTTACAGTTCTGAGTTTATTCTTGGATTATTATTTATTAGTGCATTGTTTTCCATATGAACAACTGTAAAACTAGTTTTGCCCCACCCTGTAATATGCAGGTTGTATATATTTAATAGGCAGCTTATAGGAAGATTCAAACACATATTTTGAAAGGGAGTCTAATACATTTAGTTCCACATATTTTTCATTTAAACAATTATATGAGTTATAATTTAATCAACTTTAGATTTTATTGTTTTATCAGTGGTTTAGCTTTATTCCTAAACTAGAGGCCTGTTGCATGAAGAGATTCGTGCAATAGGCCTTCCTTTCCCCTGGCTGCTGGCACCGGTTTTCCTCCGGCACCCGGCACCCAGGCTTTCGCTGTGGCTGGGCTCCGGCTGGAGCTGGCCCTGGGGCCGGCAGCGCAGCGAAGCCTCATGGCCCCTGGGCAGTTAGGCTCTGCTCCACCGCTTGGAGCCTATGTATGCAAATTAACCGCCATCTTTGTTAGGTTAATTTGCATACTCTCCTGATTGGCTTGGTAGCATAGGAAAGGTACAGTCAATTTACATGTTTGTCTATTATTAGGTAAGATATGGCTTATTATCAGAAACCTTGATTCAAAAGACAAAGTTCTGGGATTCTTTTTTTAAAACTATCCACAGAATTCTGATAACTAGTAATTTGGAATCAATATTTAGATGGTAAATGGATGACTTTACTGAAATAAGATAAAGCTGGCTAGAGGGTTTACACTGGGAATGGAAAATGACCAATGTAATATAAATAAAATTTATAGGACCTTTTGAAAGCTGAGTGTTTGAAGAGATACGTTTGATATGTCGGAGTGAGCATATTGTAATATTAACATTTAATATCAGGAGTATAGTAGTTAAAAACCAGGAAGGTATCCTTCAATTAAACCTCAGTTGAACTAAAATAATATAGGACCTGATTTTTAGCTTGTATATCTTAAAAGATATTTGCAAATATTTTCCCCTTCCTGCCCCATTGTATCCCAATGCTTAGCACAGTGTCTGGCATTTGTAGTGTTAGATAGGGCAAGGGTTTCACAGTCTGGGCATTTAGTTTTGACTAAATGCTATTCTTGCTAAATGTAAAATGTAGCACAGTATTTTGCAGATGCAGCTGTAAAGAGAATGAGCTTGACAGGAACCCAACACTAAGTGTAGTCAACTGAAAAGAAGAAACCAATGTGGAACTAGCCAAGTAGTGTAGATAACCAATGGCTAAGCCTCCCTTTCGCAAGCCAGTGCTTTGAATGTGAATCCCGTCTCCTTTACTTGCTGCAAGTAAATAAAAATAACTAATGAAAGCCACTTCTCATTCTTGACTAGAACACCCCAACTGTCAAATCCTTTAAGTTCAGGAATAGTAAGTAGGTGCTCAGTAATCAGTGAAAGAATAAAGTAATGAGGAAAGGATTTTAGAAAAGAACACAAATGATTCAAAGGGTGAACAAGTCCTTTTTAAAATGGTAAAAGAGATTAGGGTTTTGTAGAATAAATAAAAGAAGGACAAAGGACAATTATATACCTCAAATGTTTATGAGGTGACTGTGAAACATACTTACCGTAGAGCTCTCTGGACCTCTTTCATAAGGGCACTAATCCCATCCATGCGGGCTTCACTCTCATGGCCTAATCACCCCAAAGGCTCCACCTCCAAACACCACCACTTTGGACATTTCAACATAGATATTTGTGGATGATGGTGAAAACAAACATTCAGTTTGTAGTGTGATGTTAATATTTTTTTCCTTCTTAAAAATTTTCCTGCTAATGAGATGTCCCTCCTTAACTTTGAGGTGGAAGTTATTTTTCCAAATATTTTGAGAATTTAACTTCAAGTCAAAATGTTGAAATCTTTTTATTTTAGGTTGACTTATCAAAGGATCTCCCACACTGGCACAAGCTTAAATCAGATGAGAAGTACTTTATCTCCCACATCTTAGCCTTTTTTGCAGCCAGTGATGGAATAGTGAATGAAAATTTGGTAAGATTTTTGTTTTATTTTACTTTTGTTTCCATTTAGCAGTTGAATGAAGATAATGGCAGTAAGATAATTAGACTGAACCTAAACATTTTTCTCTAGGAGATGAACTTGATGAAGCTTATTTCTTGAATTTGTTTTTCTGACAAAGTGTCAGAGGAAAGAATACATTTCTATTATTTGACCAGCACCATGTCATTATACCAAGCATCTTGTACCAATTTAAAATGCATAAGCATGAGTTTGATTTCTACCCTTAGATGTGAACCCTAATAAAGAACCTGCACCTAAATAACCCTTCTGGAGCTCTGTAATAGAGCTCTGGGTTCTGGCTCCCCGTTTTTAAACTTGTATTATGGTTGGCCAGGAGGCATGCCTTCTTGTTAAAGAAAATAGAGGTATATGAACTTTTATCATTAACTGAAAGGGGCTTCAGTAGATCTATCTGCTGTTGGAAAAAAAAGACTTAAGGTCAGTTATATAAAGTGAAATAATTATTTTTTGGTAGATGTTCTACAGTTTATTTGTCATTATAGTCAGTTTCTCTACCTAACAGATCAATTCACTTAATTGCTTAAGAATTCATCATGCCGCTACTTTACTGTGGAGGGTTGATAAATAGTACTGCTTAAAATACTCCATAGGATCTTTCTGACCTGCTAGTGGCATGACAGGCAATTTTTAAGTGATAATTCTGATGTCCAGATTCTGATTTGCAGTGTTTAATGCACAGAATTGGATATATATGTTTCCCTTATTTTCATAGGTGGAGCGATTTAGTCAGGAGGTGCAGGTTCCAGAAGCTCGCTGTTTCTATGGCTTTCAAATTCTCATCGAGAATGTTCACTCAGAGATGTACAGTTTGCTAATAGACACTTACATCAGAGAGCCCAAGAAAAGGTATCACCACTGGGGTTTTATTTACAAAGTTTTATCATATTGCTTGGTTATGTTAAGAGCAGAATTTACTCTGAAATGAAATGTTAGGGAAATTTTCAAATACAGAAGTATATATAGGAGTGTAAAGTTTTCTGTTGCCCAATAATGTGTTCGCTTAAAAAAAAAAAAGAACTTGTATAGAACCTGTTAATCTGTGGAGCACATTCTGAATAGCAATTGAATATCGTAATTATTTGGTCTTGTATCAGACCAGATCCAAACCACTAATTTGAATTTTACTTTAACTTCTATATTTTGTGGATATGCAGAAATACAGAAAAATTACAAATCTGGTAGTAGACCATAGAGTTGCAATTATTATATCTAATTAGCCAATGAACATTTATTTTGATTAAGAAAAACATGTTAATAACTTTGCCATTAATTATTTTGTTTTTACAGGGAATTTTTATTTAATGCAATTGAAACAATGCCATATGTTAAGAAAAAAGCAGATTGGGCCTTGCGGTGGATAGCAGATAGAAAATCTACTTTTGGTTTGTAGCTTTAATTTATATACATCAAACTTGCCTTGAGCGTTATAATACTATTTTACCTGGTGTAACTGTCTCAAAGTCTCAATGTGCACCTTTATTTGAATCATTCTTTCTAATTAATTAGGAACCAGGATTAAAATAATCTAAAACTGCCCTGCTCAGTTGTTGGAGCATTGTCCTGGCCACCAAAAGGTGGTGGGTTTGATTCCCAGTCAGGGCACATACCCAGGTTGTGGGTTCATCCCCTAGTGGGGCAAGATCGATGTTTCTCTCTCTTTCCCTTTCTCTCTCTAAAATCAATAGTTATTTTAAAAAATTAAAATAATTGAAAACTGTATCTATTCTGTTTAATAAATTGAAAGTTGAAAGGCTAAGATGTCAGTGTATAATAAGTAAATACGTCAGTCACATAGAATCTGGCAAGAGTCTTAAAGCAGTCCACAGTTTATATCTGCTTTCAGGAATGTTTATTTTTTAAATTTAAGGTGAGTCAAAGTCTTACATTCTTCAGGAAACAAATATATAGTTTCTGAAAAACTAAAGATTAGTGCATTCAACTAGAGCAAGGAACCATTTGCAGGAACAGGCTTATTTTTTACTCTTCTGGATGAGTTGAAATTATATAACTTTTTAAAGGAAGTGATTAACATTGTATCTTATATGTAGTAGTTGCTCAGTACATCTTTTTAAAATTAATTAAACTGTTCAGATAATTCATTTGAATAGCTCTAAGTATCTGTCTTATTCTTATCTATTTTATAATTTGTGTTCTTTACTTTCTGGATTGAATTAAAATGTGGGGAAGCAGATCTCAAGATTTTTTATTTCAGGACTCATTTGTACACTTAAAAAATTTTTGAGGACTCCAGAGTGCTTTTATTTGTGTGGGTTATTGATATTTCTGTATTAGAAATTAAAACTAATAAACTTTAAACATATTTATTAATGCATTTTTAAATGAGAATAACCTGTTAGATTTTAACATATTTATGAAAAAACTATATTTTCCAGAACAGAATTAGTGAGAATGACATACTTTATAATTTTTGCAAATCTTTTTAATGCCTGACTAAATAGAAGACAGCTGAATTATATCTGCTTCTGTATTTGCATGATGTTGTTTTAGTTGAAGTGTACAAAAAAATCCACCCTCATTCAGATAAGTAGTTAGAAAAGAGAGAGTATTTTACTAGGCTTTTCAGATTATTATGGTAATGCCATGTAGCATCTGCAAAACACTATATACTCAGGAGAGAATGGTAGTAAAAAATATAAAGTAGTGCCTTCGTATTTTTAAGAAAATAGTTTTGACCCCACAGACCTCCTTGGTCTGTGAATTTCCAGCGATCCCTGGAGCACACATTGACAGTCAGTGATGTAATGTAAGGTATGACAAGCTTACAGTACATTAGGGAAGAAACAGATACATTTGTGTTGCCTTCAGTTCATTTTAAGAATGAGAAAAACAGTGATTCTAAATGTGCAAAAAAATCACTGGAGAATTTGTGGAAAAGCCCTGCAGAATCCTGGTCTTCACCCGAGTGATGTAAGAGGCCCAGGTAGGACTGAGGAATCTGTATTTTATACATAGTTGATTTCCTACAAATGGTTTGAAAGGCACATTTTGAGAAACAATGGCTTTAGAGATTAAAAAAAGGGAAATTCCAAGGTGTTCAATATGCAATGAAAATATTAGGATGGATAATTACTGATGGAAAATTGAGAACAGGCAAAAAAAAAAAAAATGAAGAACAGGTGCCAAGAAAGCATGTATTTCATGACACTGCCAAAGAAAGCAACCTAGAAATACAGAAAATTAAAGGAGGGTGCAGCCAGCATGCAGCACCAGAGGCTCCATTTAAGTTCTCCCTATTGCTTACTCTCAAGGCAAACTCCGTTTAGGGTTCTGAGTCAGGACCTCGGGGAAAAGAACATGGTCTCAAATGGTGCAGGAGAGTGGAATGGGTGGTGGGAAAGGAAAAAGTGAAGAACACATTGGTGGCTCTCTTTGGGAGAGGAGCTAAAAGACACGAAAACATTGTCTCGCTTCACCAAACACCTGTACTTCCTGTTAACTGGCTGGGGAAGTGCAGTTTTATGAACTAATGGTGCCACCTGCCCGGTAGTGCCTTTAGCTTGATGAAGTTGGCTTAGGGCTTTGCTAGTATTTTAGGTGACCTACTAGAATGCAGTAGAACAACTGTTCTTTCCTCAGAACCAGACTCTTCTAATCCTTTACATTTAGCTAAAGAGAATTTAAGAATATTCCTTAAAAAAGCATTAGCTTATTTGAAAGTTAACATGTTATAAGAAGATTCAACTCCAGTATAACTAAAAATTCTTAAATATATGCTTAGTTTTTTAAAAATTGAGATATAGTGCTTAATTTTAAAAAGATTTTGAAAAAACTTGTTGATTTGGTTTCTGGGCAGAATAGTTGTATTTGATATAATTGATCTATCTGATTTGGTTTGTTTACGATAATCAGGGAAAAGAACAAGAACAAACCAGAACACTATTTAGAGACAGCCAGTAATATTTAAACTTAGTCATCTTTCTTTTTGAAATTAAATATTATAATGACATTTGTTTGGGAAGTTATAAATATTTATTCAGTTTTTGCATCAAGTTTTAGCAATTTCATAATGTCTTTTATCATCTAGTACTTACATAGTTTCCATTGATTTAGATCAGGACACATTTATTAAGAGCCTGCTATTGTGTATTTGGTCTCCCAACAAGTACTGGGATACCAACTATGATCTTTAGTCGGTTCACGTCCTCAGTTGCCTTTATTTTACAGTCTTACCGAACAAACCTTTCTCCCTAGACAGACATGTACATAAATATTTCAGGTATGCAATGTGGCATAGGGGCTTGAGAAGGATCTTCTTTTGGGTTAAACCTATAATCATCCGCAAGATATAATGTTGCAGATATGCTGCCACTAGAGACATGTTAGGAGATTGGCTTCTGCAAAGTCCTTGCCTAACAGTGAGTATGCCAGCCAGGCCTAGGGACCCTACCCGTGCATGAAATTTTGTGCACCAGGCCTCTAGTTTGTTATAAAAGCCATCTTCTACTCTCCATTCTTGAGGCACACCACACACTTACTGTACTCACAGGCACGTGTGGTGCACAGATAAATCACTTCTTTTTTAGTGTAGAAGGTTCTCCTTTATCTACATACCAAGACCTATAGGAGAGTTCAGTGTTAGACATAGGATTTGAAGTAGATATACCTTTCTGTACTTTTCTGCTCTAGTAGGTAGAGGAGGCAGATTTCCTCCTAAGGACTCTTGGCTATTGCACTAACTTGATTTGGTTTCTGGGCAGAATAGTTGTGATATTGTTATAAAAATATGTAAAGTGTGTGTGTGTGTGTGTAGCTTAAAAATGTCTGCAGCATATAATATTTCGTACAATGAAACTAGTTTTTGTCTCCTAGGGGAAAGGGTGGTGGCCTTTGCTGCTGTAGAGGGAATTTTCTTCTCAGGCTCATTTGCTGCTATATTCTGGTTAAAGAAAAGAGGTCTGATGCCTGGACTCACCTTTTCCAATGAACTCATCAGCAGAGATGAAGTAAGGAATGAAGTATTCTTCTATTAGTATTTGTATTTATACTTGGTGTTCATTTATTTTTCTTTCCCCCGGAAAATGCTTATGGTGACACAAGGATCCTGGTAATTAAAAGAAAGTCATTTCTTCCTTGGCTTTTAAGACACTGCTTTCCTCCTGCCTCTTAACTATTTCTCCTCAGTCTCCTCTGCTCATCCTTAAATATTGTATCCTGGTTCCCTCTTTCACTGTGTATGATCTCCTGACTGATCTAATTTATTCATGGAATTAGCTACCACCCAGATGCTCGTAACAACCAAAACTTAAGTATCTTAAGTCCATCTATTCTTTTCTGAGCTCCAAACTTGTGTATTCGGGTGCACGTTAGATGGTTTTTCCTGGAAGGCGAAGTCAAACTCATCTTTCTCCCCAAGTTTATTCTTCGTTCTGTTTTCCCTAGCTTATTGAGGGTTGCCAACTTCCGTTCACTCATTTAAATTTGAAATCTGGGAGTCATTTTAGATGGTTTCTTTTATTTTGCACACACACACCCAGATAGTAACTAAACCTTGTCTCCCTCTACCTGCAATACCCTTTCCATCTTTCCTACCAGTTTTTTAATTTGTTGGTTTCCTTCTTAAAGTTGCAACTCAAACTTTCGTGACCTAATTAGGTAAAGTTGATCACTCTTTCCTCCATGTATCGCTGTGAAACTGGAACTTGTTCCTATCTTACAGTCCATAACATATATTGTACATCTTTTCTCTCTTCTCTGCTAGTCTCTAAGCTCCTTGAGTTTATCTTTCTGTTCTCAGTATTTAGTCCATTACAGCAATTCAGTTCATGTTTATTGACTACACTAATCCTGGCTGAGCTTACCTCAAAGTGGCCTTCATTTCTCTGAGTCTCAGTGTCTTCAAATATGAACCTTAAAAGGGTTTTGTTAAAATACAATTAAACAGTATGTGTGAGTACTTTTTAAGTGCCATAAAATGCTTTGTATAATTACCTTTTATTGTTTCATGTCTTTAAATTTCTTATATTTTTATTATTAATGTCATATCTGATTATTATAGAGAAGTAAGAGAATAAAATCACTCAATCTCAACACAGATAATCACTTTTAGTATTTCATTGCATTTCTTTCTGGGTGGTTTTTTTGACATTTAAATCTATGTAGATATATACGGACATCATATTTTTACAATTTGAGATATTCTTGTATTTTTGTAAGCTATTCTTTTTTTTCACTTAGCAGAATATTGTGAGAATTTTTCTATGACAGTAAGCATTTTTTGTAAACAGTAATTTTGTTAGATATATAATATTCTAATGAATATTACTGTTTGACTATTCTATAGTTAGAAATTTAGGTTGTTTCCAGATATTTTGTTTATTTGCTTTGCTATAATGCAAAATGCATATCTTTGTATGTAAGCTTTGTCCCAAATTCATAATGTTTTTCTAAGCTAGATTTACTAGAGGTAGAATTACTAGATTTTAAGGTATAAAACTTTTAAAGGTCATTCATACTTGCTTGCAGATTTCTTCCCAGAAATTTTATAGCAATATTCAGCCCTACCTAGCAACCTATGAATGTGTCTTTTCTTAATATTCTCTTACTAGAATTTGGATTTATGTGATAAATATTTGACAAATTTTTTAAAAATATATTTTTATTGGTTTTGTTTTGTTTTGTTTTGTTAATAGAGAGAGAAAAGGAGAGAGATAGAGATATAGAAACATTGATCAGCTGCCTCCTGCATGCTCCTTACTGGGGATTGAGCCTGCAACCTGGGCATGTGCCCTGACCAGAAATTGAACCAGTAACCTCTTGGTTCATGGGTGGATGCTCAACCACTGACCAGGCTATTTGACAAATTTGATAGGGTAATGATATCTCATTATTGGTCTTATTTGCATTTGTTTGATTACTACTTAGATTGAACATTTAAAAATAATATTAGTCATTTATATTGTTTTTCTGTATTAGCTTATTCTTGTCTTTACTTTCGTTGGTATATATTCCTAATGCATAGTGATTGAGCTCTTTCACTAAGTATTTTTAAATGATTTTTAAAAATATTTATCATGATTATAATATAAAATATGAATTTTGTTATATCTATTGCAAATATTTTCCCAGTTTGTCTTGCTTTTTTATTTTGTTTGTTTTTTTAACATACAAAACCTTGAAATTTATTGATGAGCTTTGTGTGATGAGTTAAGTAATCACACACATTTTCTTTTTGGCTTTTTAACATTTAACTTTCTAATGCAACTGGAAAAGGGCTGCGAGATACCATTACCCTACTCTTGCACAAATTTTGTGCATCGTGCCTTCAGTCCTATATGATAATATAAGGCCAATATGCAAATCGACCAAACGGCAGAACAACCAATTACTATGACATGCACAGACCACCAGGGGGCAGGTGCTCAACTCAGGAGCCGCCCCCTAGTGGTCAGTGTGCAGCCCTGGCTTCATCTGGAAGGATGTCTGGTCTAATTAGCATATTACACTTTTATTATTGTACATAGTTTTCAGTTACTTGTTGATTTATTTAGAAAAACCTAAGAAAACTCTCATTTGTAATCCTTTAAAGTGGCTGTGTCTTCCTCTTCTTCACCCTTTGGTGACTTACAAAATTGTTTCATTTTTCTTGTGGTTTAGAAATGTTAATCGACTCTGCCTTAGTGTCCTTCTCTGTTAATTTTGTTTGGAATGCCATCATCTTTCTGTATCTCTGGCTTCTCTCTTTTTTTTTTTTTTTTTTGACTTTTTGAAATTTTCTTTGTTGTCTTTAGCTTTAGAACATCTGTGTTTATTATGGGTTAAATTATTGTAGGTTGAATCTCCTTGCTCTGTTCTTCAACTATTTAACATTCTATACCATTTCTTGTATTTGCATAACCATTCTGTTGTCAAGGTATTTCACAACTTTTTCTTTGGTTGAGTTATTTGCAATGTCATTTCTGCTTTTTCAGCTTCAAATGGTATGCTTAATTCTTCACTTTCCATTTTCATTGCACTAAACTCATTTTTATCTTGAGCCATTCTTATCTAGACCAGGTCAACTGGCCATCTTTTGGATGTCCAACTTCCTTCTGGACAAAGCCATGGTTGTGGGGGCCAAGACAGAGGCAGTTAGGAGCGAGATCAGGCTGGCAGGGGGTTAAGGGCAATCAGGTCGGCAGGGGAGGGCAGTTGGGGGTGAGATCAGGGTGGCAGGGGGGGACAGTTGGGGGCGAGATCAGGGTGGCAGGGGAGGGCAGTTGGGGGTGAGGTCAGGGTGGCAGGGGAGGGCAGTTGGGGGCGAGGTCAGGGTGGCAGAGGAGGGCAGTTGGGGGTGAGGTCAGGGTGGCAGGGGAGGGCAGTTGGGGGGCGAGGCAGGTAGGCAGGTGAGTGGTTAGGAGCCAGTGGTCCTGGATTGCGAGAGGGATGTCTTCACAGGGATCGGGCCTAAACCAGCAGTCGGACATCCCCTGAAGGGTCCCAGATTGAAGAGGGTGCAGGCGGGCTGAGGGACACCCCCCCACCCCACCCCCCGTGCACGAATTTCGTGCACCGGGCCTCTAGTTTAATATAAATGTCTTTTCAAAATCTGAGTGTTTCATCTGTTTTTTAAATACTTACTTTTAAAAATCATTTCTTAATTTTTTTAGACATTAAAAAATGAATGAACTTTTATATAGCTCTTCTTGCTTTGGTTTCCTTTCCAAAATGCTTTTGGTCATAGTTTTTGTTGTTGTTAATTATCCTTTTTTCATGTTGATAAGCTAAGATTTGCTGGCACTGAAATTTTTTATTACGGGTTATTGTAATTTGCATTTTAATGAGATCTGAAGAAAAGAACCTCCTGGCCCTCTTAATCCTTCTTCTACATTCTTGCATTCTGAGACCCTATTCTATCTGATGCTTGACACATCCCTGTGTGAAAATAGCTGATTAAACTTGTTGGGGTTTTTTTGACATTTTTTCTTCTATTTTAGGGGCTTCACTGTGACTTTGCTTGCCTGATGTTTCGATACTTAGTAAATAAGCCTTCAGAAAAAAGGGTCAGGGAGATCATCGTTAATGCGGTTGAAATTGAGCAGGTAAGCAGGGAAGCTTATATATGATTAACACATCACTTTCTGAAGTGTGTATCGTTCTATTATTAGGTTGACTCATATGAAACTGCCATTTTGCAGGTAAAAATAAAAATCAGCAATTTCATATGGTCAATCTGACAGGACCAGTAGATAATGTATTACAATTATTATGTCAGTTTATAATTTGCTCTATATGTAAGTATTATACATACTTTACGTATATAAAGTCTGTTTAAGGACTGTTTTTTTTCTGTCTCATTGACCTGTCAAATTTTGTGCCATAACAAACTATTTTAATTATTTTAGCTTTATGTTTTTAGATTGTTAGCTACTAGAGGGAAGTGACAGTTTCTTGTTTGTTTTGTATTCTCAAAAATCTAGCAGGGTATCTAGCTAGAAGCATGCACCAGATGCTTATAGAATAAATAAATTAATTAATGAATAGTAAAACTCAATTTATAGCATGTAACGATCTATGACTAGAAAGATCTGGATGCTCCACTTAGGATGTGTTTTTATTATTTGAAAGAACTAGTTTAAAAGTAAAACAAATTTTAAAGAATGTTCTTAAATACTGCATAGTTAAACGGCCAGACTTTTTATATTGGGAGAGGGGAAAAGGCATAAAATACATTTTGATATCTGTAATCATTTTGAGAACTAAGTCCAGATGGTTAATGTTTTTATTTTTCCTCTATTAACACTTTACCATTGTCTTTTAATATACTTGGAGTACAGTTTATCTCCCAACCCTCTTCCAGTCTCATTTTCTTTGTTAATTGTGTTTTCTCTCTTTTGTAATATCCTTCCATAATTATATTCTCCACAATGATTATTTTTGGTGAATCTTTTTCTAGATATTTCAGAACAAAGTATCTCCAAGTACCATAATTTACCCTGGCACTGGGTAGCTCAGTTGGTTTGAGCATCCTCTCAGTATGCCAACGTTTCGGGTTCAATCCCCAGTCAGGGCACATACAAGAATCAACCAATGAATGCATAAATAAGTGGAACAACAAATCGATATTTCTCTCTCTTTCTCTCCCTCCTTCCCTCCCTTTCTCCCTTCCTCTCTCTCTAAAATCAGTCAATATAAAAATTAAAAGTGCCAGTAATTTGATAATTAGCTTCCATTTATTTTGGCTATTTGAGAATGTGAAATAATGTGAACAGTAAATATCCCAAACATTTTTTTAAAAAATGGACATTGGCCCTGACTGGTTTGGCTCAGTGGATAGAGCGTCGGCCTACAGACTGAAAGGTCCCAGGTTCGATTCCGGTCAAGGGCATGTACCTTGGTTGCGGGCACATACCCAGTGGGAGGTGTGCAGGAGTCAGCTGATCGATATTTCTCTCTCATCGATGTTTCTAACTCTCTATCCCTCTCCCTTCCTTTCTGTAAAAAATCAATAAAATATATTTTTTAAAAAAAGAAATCAACTTAAAAAAAATGGACATTGTTTGCCATGTTGAAAGAATTTAACCTAGTTTACTTTTCTTGGACAAGATTAGTGACTTAGAAGATTAATAAGACTAAAACTATCCTTTTATTTGGAAGATACATACTTATTGTTCTGTCTTTGTACTATAATCTATTTTTCTTTTTCTCTCAGGAGTTCTTAACAGAAGCCTTGCCAGTTGGCCTCATTGGAATGAATTGTGTTTTGATGAAACAGTATATTGAGTTTGTAGCTGACAGATTACTTGTGGAACTTGGATTCTCAAAAGTAAGATGTTTTAAAATGTATTACTACTAAGCTAAAATGTTATTGTCAAATGAGGTGATTAAAATATTGTATTTCAACTGAAATCATTTGTAATATACTAGTTTACTTTTAAAATGTCCATTCCATTGTTTTGCATGAACAAATTGGCTTTGCAAAATACTTTGAAACGTGAAATGAAATTCATAACAGAAGTAGGAGGCTGATAAATCTTAGAATTAATAAGCTCAATAAATTATTTTATAATAATTGCATGTATTATTTAAAATCGGATTATTTTTAAATAATTGCATTTCATATGCATATATGTGTTTTACCCTCATATAAATCTCCATGTATCTTTGTTGTAATTTTGGGGTTAATACTTTTTTTTAAATATATTTTTATTGATTTCAGAGAGTAAGGGTGAGGGAGCAAGAGATAGAAACATCACTGATGAGAGAGAATCATTGATCAGCTGCCTCCTGCACACCCTCCACTGGGATTGAGCCCACAACCTGGGCACATGGTTCATAGATTGGTGCTCAACCACTGAGCCATGCCAACTGGGCTGGGTAAATACTTTGAAATAGGAAATAGTTATTATGACAACATTAACTATCATAACTTACTCTTTGAACTCAGTTGTCTTGAAGTTATTTCTGTCACTTTGTTTATCAGATATAATGTATCTGAGTTTCGTAAAGAGGTGTGATTTTCACATGACGTAGCAGATGGAGGCTGCAGCCAGACTGCCTGGGTTTGAATCCTGGTTCCACTGCTTCCTAGCTATGTGCCTTAGGCAAGTTGCTTAAGCTTTATCTCAGTTTCCTATCCATAAAATGGAGATGATAATAATAATACCACAAAGGATTGTTTAAAGCATTTAAAATAGTGTCATACTTACAGTAAAGGCACAATAAGTGGTTATGTTGTATTCAACGTAAGTGGAACATTCACAGAACTTTACTGTGTTCCACACCATGGTAATTAAAAATTACTAGTACAAGTTTGATTTCTTAGCATGGAAATGTAAGTTTAAATTGCATTTAATGAGAAGCCTTATGAAATTCATGATTCTGGGTAATTATTACCTTTTTTGGTTATGCATTTATATTCTGGTAACTACAGAAATACTGTAAAGAGTCAGGTGTGGGAAAGGTTTTTGTAAGATAAACTATCCTATATAATAAAAGGCTAATATGCAAATTGACTGAACGGCAGAACAACCGGTTGCTATGATGCACACAGACCACCAGGGGGCAGATGCTCACTGCAGGTCAGTGCGCTGCCTCCGTGTGGCAGTGCTAAGGATGTCCAACTGCTGGCTTAGGCCCACTCCCCGCAGTCAGACATCCCCCGAGGGCTGCCAGACTGTGAGAGGGCGCAGGCCAGGCTGAGGTACCCCCTGAGTGTACGAAGTTCATGCTCCGAGCCTCTAGTATTTTATAATTTTAGTTGCAACATTCTCTGTTTATCGATAAGTAATGAGAGAAATCAAGATTACAATTATATTAATATGATCTCATAAATTTATAAACTGTGTATTAAAAATTTATATTTGTTCCTAAGTTATACCAATATGTTTGTTATAAGAAAATTAATTTGTGTACTTAAACCTTAACGTGAACTCGCTATCCTTTATCCCACCACCATATCCTCACACCCACACATCCATGCTTTCCTGCTTATTGGAAAACCTTGGACCCCTGGGTCTAGTTTTCCCTTTGGGAACTTGCTAAATATAGGTATATAAAACATGCCTCCTACAAAAGAAAATCTAAACATAGTGTAAAACATCATTTTTCACAGGCTTTCAACATATCTCAATAAACTCCCCAAAGCAGAAATTATACAGACCTCTTAGATTTTAATGCATTTAAATGAGAAAGTCATAATAAAAGATTGCCAAAAAGTTCCATCTACTTAGAAATTGAAAAGATATCCTTTAAAATGAGATTAAAAGTGAAAATATAAACTAATGGAAAATGTAAACTAAATGACAATAAGATTACTATGTGTCAGAATTTATAGAATCCTCAGGAAAATTTATAGCCTTGAATGTATATATTAAGAAAACAGCAATTAAAATACATAAACTAAACTTTGAACTCAAGGAGCTGTAAGAAGAACTATTCTTAATGATGACAATTTTTGGTAAAATAAGAGATTACTTAAATTAGCAAATGGTTGTCATTTATACAGAATTTCAATTAGGAGCCATGTTTATGATGTTTTCAACTTCTCTTTTAGTTTAGTATTAGTCGGTAAATATTTGAGTACTTCAGTGTGTCAAAAACAAGTCACTTAATTTCACTTGGTCTTAGTTACTTTGTCTATGCCATGAATGATTTGAATCAGATTTTTGGAAGGTTGCCAGTTTTAAATCCAGTGAATCTATAACTATTGGTCCAGTACTTTTTCCACTTATCTGGCTGTATGTGGTAGCACAAATTTTCACTCTCTCCTAAAACACTTTCTGACAGGAAAAATTTCACAGAATTCTACCACTCAACCATACTAGCGTAGAAGTGTGTTGTTTTTTTTTTTAATTAAGAAAAGATATATATATATTTCCAAAATATATGCACACACTTTGAATAATTATAAAGGCAGTATTCATTAAAATACATTTCACTTTCAAATTAAGCTATCAGTTGCTGAAGTATGTATACATTTTTTAGGACAATACACACACACCTGTGTGTGTGTGTGTGTGTGTGTGTGTGTGTGTGTGTGTGTGTGTAAAGATATAAATCAGAGTATACAATTCATCTATTAATAAATGAAGAATACAGTGTTTTTAATATATTCACATTTATGTAGTTATCACAACAATCTGTTTTAGAACATTATTCTTATCACCCCACAAAGAAACTCTGTACCGATTAGCATTCAGTCACATCTCTCTTTCCCCCACCTCCACCTCAGACCTAGGCACCATAATCTAATTTCTGTCTCTTTAAATTTGCCTCTTCTGTATATCCCATTTCTCATATAAGTGGAATCACACAGCATATGGTCTTTTGTGTTTAGCTTCTTTACTTAGTATAATGAAAGTATTATCAGTACTTTATTCCTTTTTATGGCCCAGTAATATTCTTTTGTTTAGCTATACTAAATTTTATCCATTTAACAGGTGATAAACATTTGAGTGATTTCTACGTTTTGGCTATTATGAATGCTGCTATGAACACTGATGTATAAATTTTCGTGTGGACATATATTTTCATTTCTCTTGGATATCTAACTAGAAGTGAAATTGCTGGGTCATATGCTAACTCTAGTTTTAATCTTTAGGGGAACTTCCAGACCATTTTCTACAGTCCTGTACCATTTTACATTAACACCAGCAGTATATGAGAGTTCCAATTTCTCCACATCCTCACCAATGCTTGTTGTCTGCCCTAAATGTGTGTGAAATGGTATCTTAATGTAGTCCTGATTTGCATTTACCTAATGGATAATGATTTTGAGCATCTTTTCATGTGCTAATTGGCCTTTTGTAAATTTTCTTTAGAGAAATGCTTTCTTGTCTACTAAGATTCTTTGCCCATTTTTAATTGGGTTATTTGAATGTATTCTTTCTGTGGTGTTCATAATTTCTGCTGGAATACTCCTAAATTAAAAAGTCCTCTTTTATTGCCCCTCATGACTCATTAAAATGTTTCACAGTTTCCGCCAGCTGTATCTTCACGTCTTCTTGAATTGAGAAGCAATAAAAAAGCTTCTTGTCAACATATGTCCCACTTTTTTGGAAAGGTCACTGTGGGTAGGATTTATTCTGTCTTACCTCATCATGGTTCCTTACCTGATGTGATTATTCTCTTATGGAACTAAGAAATATTTAGGTCTACACTACACTGTTGGGAATTTAATCTTTTCTGCTATCATGTTTAGGTGACTACCTAATGGTAATACCTGTGAAAAATGTCTATAATATCTATGGTGTCTTAAATTTCTCAAGCTGAAAACATTTTAGTTGGTTGATGTTAAATCTTTCATTTCCTGAGATAACCTCCTTTTCCCTTTCTACTTCTTAGAATACCAGAGATGCTAGCATAGTATCTTGAAGAGGTTAGTAGGTGATTTTAGTCATCTGAACATTTATCAGCCTTGAGCCTCTCCAGATCCTTAGGGAATAGGTGGTCCTGTGGGTGACTAGATAGGTGTTATCTGTTGCTCTTCTTGTGGGATATAATTTGGCTTCTTCAGAATATCTAATAACATTTCTTTTTCTTCTTTTTTTCAGATTTTTCAGGCAGAAAATCCCTTTGATTTTATGGAAAACATTTCTTTAGAAGGGAAAACAAATTTCTTTGAGAAACGAGTTTCAGAGTATCAGCGTTTTGCAGTGATGGCGGAAAACACAGATAATGTCTTCACCTTGGATGCAGATTTCTGAAATCCTTCCCTTATCTAAACTTATTGGTAAAGAGCAGTCTATTTTTCTCTGCTTTAAAAAATATAAAAACAAAAAAAAATTTTTTAAGTATCTTCTTTAAGGAATTCCTAGGAGTTTGCTCAAAAGGAAATCCAAAACCAAATATCAATCCATTTGGATCTGTATGAATACACTCCAACTTTCGAGTTTAACAACCAGAATGTGACCTAAATGCTTTTGTTTTGTTACCAAAATATAAGATGGCATTATGTAGTGATTAATAGCTTGAGGTGAGGTCTCAGATTTGAATTTGAGATTCTGTCCTTACTACTTTGTGTGACACTTGGCAAGTCAGTTAATTACTCTCAACCTCAGTGTACTTACCTTTAAAATGAGTGTAACAGCCCTGGCCAGTGTGTCTCAGTTGGTTGGAGCATCATCTCATTAATCAAAAGTTGGTGGGTTTGATTCCTGGTCAGGGCATATGCAGGAAGCAATTGATGGATATTTCTCTCTCCCTTCCTCTCTCTAAAATAAATTAAAAATAAAAATAAATAAAATGAGTGTAATAGTAGGTCCTAAATTCAGAGAAAGCATGTGAGGATTCAGGCACAAAATGGGTGCTTAGTGCTACCACCACCACCACCACTACTGCTATTACTACTAGTACGTATTATTATTAATAGTGTTAATTGCAGTGATATTGTGGTAAAATGCTCCCATATCAAAGTAATTGTAATTCTAGATCCTAAGATCTAGTGTTAGATCTTAGTATTTTTAATGTTTGAGGAAGGATATAAAGATTTCCTAAAAATCATAATTCTCATTAATTTGAGAGTAACTTCTTTGAATTCCTCGGTATGTAGTAAAGGAAATTTGGTTCTTAGTTGCTTTGGGAAGGATACTTATGGAGTGGAATTCAGGAGGTTATCTTAATAGTTGGCCTTATGAGCAAAATGATTCTGCTCCTTTAGGAATTAAAAAGGGTAACTATTGCCAGATGTAACCCTGGAATGTTTAAAACCAGGCAAATTAGCTAGACGAGCATTTCCCAAAGAGTGTTTGAAGAGTTATTAGCTCTCTAATAACTCTTGTGGGGTTCTGCGGTCAGATGAGTTTGGGAAATGCTGTACAGTCTATTGTTCTTTACAGTGTACACTCAGTACATTAAAGACTGAGAAATTCTGTAGTAAGTAAACTTATTTCCCTCTGCATATTCCAAACTTACTTAACACAGATATGTTTCTCATTCGTTAACATCTAACCTGACTGGCATTCCTCAGAACATACTTTGGAAAAAGCTGGCCTGGAATCATTTTATATGTAGAAGACGGGCTTGTGGCTAAGCCAGGGAGAACCTGGTGGGGTTATGAACCATTTCAGATTTATGCCAAGCTGAGTCATGTACTGTGATTGGGCTCATCTGTGTTTAATACTCTTAAAACCCTTTTTTTGCTGCTGTGAGATGTAGTTCTTTTCAGGGAACTGTGCATGCTGCAGGATAGCAGATGGTGCAGGAGTTGGAGGAAAGGCCAGAAGCCAAGCTCTCTGAGCAGTCTGCCCTTCTTTACAGGAAGGAAGTGTCAGAGGTCGCCTGAGCCCCAGCAGGCAGTGGGGTGCCCCACTCACAGCATAATACCATGTCATAAAATTCTGGACGCTCAGATTTAGAGATTTCCTCTTTGTATAAATTTTTGTCCCATGCATGCCACAACTACCTAATTGATTAAAACAGGATGTTCTCAAGTGGATGCAAAAGGAAATGACTATAACCTTATTTGTTAGCATAATATCAGAAACTTGAGATATCTGGCCTATGATAATACCCTTTGTTTGTTCAGTGCCTCATAGTTTGCCAGGTGTTTTTACATCACCTCATTTGGTCTCGCAACAGTGTTCTGAGCTTGACAGAGCAGCTAGTGCTGAAATTTTACCAATGGAAAGAGTGAGGCTCCGAGAAGTTAAATGACTTGGCCAAGGTCTGTTCATAGTCACTGTCCCTACAATGTAGTTTTTAAAGGTCATTATGTTTCTTGTATTTAGTCATTTGTCAACCTTCTTGATTTGATTTTGCCTATTTCCCCATTAAAGTATTACATACTTTAATTGAGGTATCGTATACATTAATTAAAGTATCAAAGTATCATAAACATCTTAACTATATTCAGGTAATATGTTCAAATATATTTACTCCTGTACAAAAGCTTAACATTTAAAATTGATAATATCTGTAATGGATGGAATGAAAGAAAAATAGTCCATATTTACAGTCCATATATCCTTTGTTTTGAACCCAAATTTTTCTCAGAGGTAATGACAGGTGCCTTAATATGAAGCTTATTTATATTAGCAATAAACCTAACTGTATTAAGATGAAGAAATTTTAATACTGAAATACTGGATTTTTAATACACTGCTGTATTACATTTGGTATTCTATATCTCTTCCCAGGCCTCCAGGTTGCATATTTATTTATTATGTTTAATATTTTGGTTCTTAGTTTTGAAGGAATCAAGAAATTGTGGAATTTCTTTTTAGTATTATCTCGCAGGTAAAGAAAGAAAGTCAGAGTATGTTTACAATTTTTTAACAGCACATGTATTTAAATCATTGCTATAGTAATTAAAGTTAATTTTTTTTAGGAATATAAAAACTGGTAGTCCTATGATACATTGCATTTATTTAAAATGTTTCATTTTAGTATGTAGAATCATGTCTTAAAAGGATTTGGAGAGACAGTTGATCCAGTGCTTTCAGACAGGGCTGTTTTACTGTCCAATTATATACAATAATGAACCATTATTATTACAATACAAGCTTACCCCAGTCATGTCTTTATATATGAAATTTTTACAGTTGTCTCATTTTGGAAACTCAAGTTTTTTGCTTCTTTTGCCATTTTGTTTTTCATTTGTTCATTAAAAAAGTGATTATTGAAAAAGACAGCAGCTTGCATATTTAAAAAATAAATTATTTAATCATCAGGATCTTGCATTTCACATTTAAATATGCTAACATCACTGTCTTAGAATTCCCAAATTGCATTTGTGCAGATTAAGCTGAGGGCCAAGTGTCACTAACTGGTTTTCAGTGATAAAGGCTGATGGGCTACATGAGAGCCAGCGGAGTCCTCTAATCAGTTCTTGTGTCTTGAACTAAGTTGAGTGAATTGGTAGCCGAATCAGGAACTCTTCCCACACAGAATCTGCATATGTGGTACAGAAGTGAGATCTGCATGTCTTTGTTTGAAGTGGTCTGCTCCTCTTTAGACAACTGCAGGTGTGAAGGGGAATCTGACATTCCTGAGGCTGCACGAAGAAAAAATTTAGGCCTTTGAATTTTAGGTTATTTCTATTAAAGAAAACATAGGTACAAATGAAAAGCTGGAGAACGATTTTTTATACAGATAAAAACATAACGACTCAGTCTTTTTCTAAATTCACAAGATTCTTAACTCATGCATTTGTCTTTGTTTTATGACCATGTTTTGATTTTTCCAAATGTCTGGTCATTTAACAAAGTTATTTGGTATCTACTGTGTACGGAGAGCTTTTTCAGGTGTGGTGTACCTAATATTTTTTGCTCAAATACATTATGGTCAATCAGGACAACCCTGCATACATAGAATTTTTCCCCCCCAAAGAAATGAGTTATTGTATTTTGTTTTAGTTTAGTTGAAATAAACTGTATCATAGCTACATTACTTGTGCATGTACTTTTTGAGTAAAAGTGTTTCTTTATAAGTGCAGGGGCTACCCTAATCAAGAAATGTATATATTTCCCCAACCCATTATGAACCCAATAATCCAGTTTTTCCATATTTGCATCCCAGCAGCCAAATACTTCTAGAGAAAAGGTCATACACGATAACTTGGATCTACTATAAATTCATGATTACCCACTGTTTTAGTCCAGTCAGGCTGCTATAAAAAATAATAGGTGTCTTATTCTCTCAGTTCCATAGGCTGGAAGTCCAAGGTCAAGGTGCTGACAGATTCACTGTCTGGTGAGCCTCACTTCCTGGTTCACAGGCAGCTGTCTCCTCGCTGTGTCCTCCGTGGAAGCAGAGGCAAGAGGGCTCCCTGAGGTCTTCTGTTAGAGAGGCCCTAGCTCCATTCCTCTCTCAAAGGCCCCACCTTTAAACCCATCACATCGGGAATTTGGTTCAAACATGAAGTTGGGTGGGACACAAACCTTCAGTTCATAGCGCCTACCTGAGCCCCTTCTTGCAGTCCTACTACAATTTCCTGGTAAACTCCATCTCCATTCTCCACAGTTGCCTTTTCACCCTATCTCCACTCGGCTGCTACCCTCACTCCAGAAACTGTCATTTACAGAGCACATGGGACCCACTTGCTTTATGTATGTCATCCCGTTTCATGCTCTTAAAGATCCGGTTGGGAAGGTATTTTCCCCTTCCTTTCACAGTTATTTGTTGAGTGTATCCTCAGTGCCAGGCGCCGTGCTGGGTGCTGGAGATCAAAGCATGAGAAGACATCCTGTCTGCTTCATGGAGCATAGTGGGGTAGACGCATACCAAACAAGCGAAGTAAAGAAAAGGTTATTTCCTCCATTTGGGAGACGACTTCGGACAGCTCTACTAGTCTCCTTGCTTCAAGCGGTTCAGATAGAGCCCGAATTGTGGCCCAGTTCTTTTTGATAGCAAAGCTCCTGCTCTCACCAGAACCCCCCGGTAAAGACATTGCTGCGTTTCTGATGGGCACAGAATCCCGGGCCCCACCCTTTCAAAGAGCTGCATGGCCTGGGATGGCAGCAGTGAGACAGGGCCAGAGAGCCGGCAGCTGCAGGTGGGCTCAGGCTCCAGGGGAGAAAGCTGGTGGGGGTGAAGGTTAGACTCAGCCCCATCCTGCTAGCAGTTGCAGGGGGCCCTGTTGAGATCACTGGGGGATTTGGTGGGCAGGGCTGACAAGAGAATTTAGCAAAGCTAATTTCATCTAATTTTCCAAAAGGGGAAACAGCGTCAGCATCTTGCCAGCTGCCACCAATGGAGAGCCCTGAGTTGGCCGCCCCCATGGGTCTCTTCTGGAGCTAGGGAAACCCAAGGAGGCCATTGTGGCCACTGCCTTCCCTGGGGCTAGGGCTGGGGTGGGGGCGGGGGGACACTGTGCCAAGTACCCTTCTGTGCTCTGCAGGCCAGAAGCATGGTCTCTAGCTGCACCATGTGGGTCCCTGTTCCCCACTGCCAGCCTCTGGCTTCTTGTGGGTGGTACCTGCTGGGGCGATGGTGGTGGAAGTGTTCTGCTGGTGCTCAATCCCTGACTTCCACATGGTGGCGCCATTGAGCTGCTGGTCTCAGCTCAGGCTGCTCCTTCCTGCGGGAACGGAGGAGGTAGATTGTAAAAGAAGGAAGATTGTGTTTCTAGGTGAGCTTGGGCGGCCTGGCAGGAGCGGGGCCTCCGGACACATAGAAGAAATTCATGCAAAGCACCGGCCCTTTAGAAAGGGCAAGCGCCCGGCAGGGGCCGTGGGGAGTCGCAGCCCAGGCTGGCTGGGTAGAGATGAAAATCCAGGAGACAGTGCCACAGGGAAGCCCTGCATTTTGGTCCCAACTGAAGGAGAAGCCTCTTCCCATAAATGGAGGCTGAGCAGTTATGAAACAACTAACCACACCACATCCCTGGAAGGTTCCGGAGGCTGGGCTAGTCGCAGAGGCACAGTGATTGGACTTTGCCTAGGGGGAGGGGGTGGTACAGAGGGCAGGGTCCGATGGCAGAAAGACGGCACTTACCCTCTGGCCCATTCTGAGAGGATCTGAGGATGGAGGGGAACATACTAGCTCTTGTCTGTTGTTCCAGGAGGGGTCACTCCAGTTCCCTGGGCCCTGGATATCTGAGCTCCCGCCCACCTCAGTCTCGGAAGGTGATAGCTGTACTAGGGGCCGCATGGGTGTGTTCACAATTCAGATCTAGGAGCTAGGGTCATGTAACGATGCTCCATCCTGTGACTCTATCTTGACCCGGGTGCCTCACTTGCAACCCATAGAAACTCCCTCAGAATGTGGGAACGGTATTGTGTGCGGAGGGGGGGCGGGGGGGGGGGGGGGACAGGTTTTAGAGCCAAACTACTTGGCTTCAAATCTTGGTTCTAAACTTACTGGCTGGGTGACTTTGGGAAGAGCAACAGTATGGATGTCCAGTGTTGTCCTATGGAGAGTGCTTAAACTAGCACCAGCATACAGTAAGCAACTCAATAATTGAAGCTCTTATCTCAAAGCTTCTATCTAGCACTAAAACCCCAACTCTATGCCTGGAACATGCGCATTAGCTTGGAGAGACCTGGCTGTCAACAGCTCCTTTGAGGTTGATCTGTGGGGTTCTTGCTGTGTCCCCAAAGACCATTTCCTTGCATGGGTTTCATTTCCATCTTATGGCCGGTCCTTCAGATTTTTTTGGCATACATTTCCCAGCATTTTAGTAGGCTGGGGAATATACCCTTGTGTTTCCTTAATAAGATAGCTTTACTCTGCCTACAGCTTTAGGAGCAGGTGAAATTCAGTTCACCTTAATATCTGTGCCGGTGTAACATCCTCTGTTGCTGTTATCATGAGCGTTCCCTTTTAGGGCTAATGAACAAATCACAAGTCCTAATACTGAAAAATTGCCATTTTGTTCTACAATTAGCAGGGACAAATAGCTTTAACGCTACCGCAAATCCCTGCTCGAAGGAGAACCCCAGTCCCCCAAGATCTCATCTGCTGTGCCCTCGCCTGGATGGAGAGCTTGCAGGGTCAGACTTGCGGCTCCTCTGCCTCTGAGGCCCCTCCTCGCACCAGGTGGGATGCAGACGTGTTATCCTTCACAGCGGGGATCTCGGTTGGAGCGTCAGCCACTGGATTCAGGCATGGCTGGGTATAGTGGGAAAACCTGTGTGTACCTCACGTGAAGTTTCTTTGCACGGGGTCTCCTGGCAAAGAATCGACCTGGGGCAAGAAGACAGGTCTGATGGGTTTGACCCGTGTGATGGGATGGGGCAGAGATTCTGAATGTGGCAGGGAGGCCATTACACAAACCCTCCCAGGTGAACGAGGCCTTGTGGGAGTAGGGTACAGAACTTAGCCCTTGCTGGGAGCCAGACCACACCGAAGGCAACACAAAGGGAAGGTGCCCGCCCTCCTCTCCAGGCCAACTTGGAGCCTGGCCTAGCAGCATGAAGTGGGCGTGCTTGATTGTTCCAACTCGTGCCATTATCAACACCGGTGCCGCACATCCGTGCATACACCTGTACACGCATACATACTCAGCTTTACACACATCCATGATTTTTCCCTGAGACACATGGGGTCAGAAGCAGCAGAATTCTGAAGTTGTCCCACTATTTTTTTTTTAACTCTATATGGAAAAAAAATGCATTTATAGCCAGGCCTGGTTTTTGTTTGTTTGTTTGTTTGTTTTTTCTTTTATATAAGAGAGGTTTATATACAAAACTTTTGTTGTACTAAAACTGTAGGTACATTCTAAAACCTTTCCTTTGGCCCCAGGGGAGGCCTTTTGGTTTTCATTTTTATTTTTGGCTGCACGTCTGTTTATCTGTGGCAGATACTCTCGGCTGTCTACTCCAGAGCCACGGCCAGCCCTTGCCCACGTCCAATGGGAGATGGTGGGGAAGCCGCCTCCTTGCTCTCTCAGACTCCCCCGCAGCTGGAAGTGGCTAAGTGGCCTGGTCTGGCTAATGAGACATAAAGGAATGCCTGTGGGAGCCTCACGGAGAAACACGTTTTCCTCTCTGCTAAGGGTGAGGCTTGTGAAGAGAAACTCTCTGCCAGGAGCACCCTCAGTGCCCTGCCTTCAGACAACCGCGTGCGGATGCAACCTCGGGACAGGGGCAGCCAGTTCCTGCTCATGAGGCAGCAGGCACGAGGAAGGACAAAAGAGCAAGACACTGATGAGGAAAGGGTTCAAAGGAAAAATGCCCGGGTTTTGAGGGTCCTGTTACATGGCTGGACCCGCCTTGGCACCTCCTACTCCCCATTTTCTGTTCTGTGAGACCATAAGTACCAAGATCAGCCGTTCTTATTCACGGCTTCTGTTACTTAAAACAAGGGCATCTTAATGGAAACAGCCTCTCCTTTTAAAAAAATTCCAAATGAGATTATTCCCCCCCACCCCCGCCCCCCGCCCCCATCCTGCATTCCTTAACTGTGCATGGGGGAGTTGGACACTCCCACCCTGATTACATTATTTATAAACCATTTAAAATGTAAGACACCGTGTCCATTTCCCAGCCATTCTGGCACCCGTCACAAACATTCCTGCCCACTCAGCCGGGGGTCAGCCTGGCTTTTCCAGGCTTGGGCAGAGGACACAATGTAGCCACCAGCAGGCAGCTGCCTTCCCCATGGCTCCCCCCCGCCGCTCCCTGGGTCCCCCAGCACAGCCAGGGCCTGACCTGCTGCGAGGCAGCCCTGCCTGCTTCTCCTATCAGGACTGACCCAGCACCTTCCTTCCTGAGGAGGGTCAGGGAGGGTGGGTCTCACCCCGCTGCCTTTTCGTGGAGACCAAGTTAGAAGTGCTTCATGTGAAAACCAGAACCTCTGTCCGGAAGCTAGTACATGAAGTGCTCCCGCCCGGAATACAAAGAGCCCAGCGGTTCCTCCCGATGCAGGGACAGCCGAACCCTGCTCCCTTCTGCGGGTGTGTTTGGACAGGGGAACCGTCTGATCCCGTTACTCCCGAATGGCTG